CCCCCCAAAAAAATCTGTATTTTGTTGGTGAGTCAGCCACTGGGAGTTCTAATTCGACAAAGTAATAAATATTCATCCATTCCAGAAAGATGTTCCATAAAAATCAGTTCTTAATTAATAACATTTTTCATGAAAACAAATGAATGTATTATGAACTGAGCCTAAGCCTAAATGAAGGCATAAATTAAAACACTGTCATGGAAAACCAGTATGCTCAATACTTTAAAAAAGACCACACCACATACAGAAGTCATGTGTACACAAAGAAACTAAAGAACAGCAACCGTCTTCATTGTTTAAAACTGGTAAGAACAAAAGAACATGGCTGAGCCATAAGTTGTCAGTGTTTGTAACTGGGTGCAAGAGACATTACTTCTTTGTTCATTCCCACGCAAATTCCACAGCAGTAGATAAGTCAACCATAATCAATAAAAACAACATGATCGTTGAGGACGCACATGATCTGAAATTATTTTCTAAAAAAAATAAGCTGGAATTAAGGAGGGGATGGCTATAGCTGGACACACAACATTTTCTGGACCTTGAAAAATACAATCTTTTTTAAACACAAAAGACAGGTCTTTTCTTTCAAACAATCAAGTAAACACTAGGCACCCTTACAAAACTCGTTAAAACTCTAAGACACAAACAAAGACCTATGAATGAAAGATAGCCAAGGAGACACCAATCACCCAAAGAAAAGATTTTAAAACCCCAAGACATAAAATGAAGACCAATGTGAGGAAAAAAATCTACCAACGTCAAAATTTCGAAGTGACCAAATCATTATCTCTGGTATCATGTGTATAACTGCTGTAGTTTTCAACCAACAACTAAATAGCCTGCTCAGTCCCAAGTTAGAGGGTACAAAAGAAAAGCAAAGTACAGTGCATTTTGAACTTTTAAAAATTCGATTTTCTTTCCACATACATGAAAATGTGACTTTGATTATTTTTTTCAACGTAGACTTCAAATGTTTTTACCAGTAAGACATAACAAAAATAATCTCAAGACAAAAAAGGAGAATCTTCTCCCTCTAAACCCATTGCTCTCCACAGTATGACCAGGTGAATGGTCACTAATCTCAACAGAATCAGCATCTCATATCACATTCATAGTATGTTATTAAAAAGAATCCCAGTGAACTCAGAGAAAGTAATTTTGAATAGTGGTGACAATAACGAGATCAGATATCAAACACAATTCACATCGTTATTCATTAAATTATGAAACAGTGATGACTTTGAACCATAAAACAATAAAATCGAACAGCATATGTATTTTTCAAAACATTGAACTATTTTAGAAGAGAAACATAATTTTTACAAATACAACCAAATTTCTATAATGATGGGAAGTTTTTTTTGACCAGACAAGGGACTCAAACAAACATCAACAAATAATCAGGAGGTGGCAAGATAAGTCAGGGTAAGGTGAAGATGGAGTGATCTAATAAAAACCTACACCAGTACCAAGTATACCCTTCCTCAAGTCATCAAAACATCAGAAAACTTTATTATTTTATTAAAACAGAAAATCTTGTGATCAACAAAACTGGAAATCCTAAGACCTCTGGTGGTTGTGATTCCCCGCATCTCGCACAGGCATCGTCTTTCTCCTTTTCAGTCGGTCAAACAAATCTTTAGGGATTTCCAAAGCCTCAATGTCTTCTCTGTGCACCAACGATCGTACTTTGTTCAGGCACAGTTTCAGCAAGGTATGAACTGGGTAAGAAAACAGAAGCAATACAGTTAATTTGCCGGAACGAATAATATCTTACTAAAATATATGGAATTAAAAATAAAATAAATCCTTCAAATACTTCACAAAACAAATCACAAAACTTTTGAGTTTAAGCTTTCAAATTGTTTAGTGGCTTGCAGTTAGGAGATTGGCAAGAAGTTCATTATCATCATTGCCTTCCTCACCCTGGACCACAGTATAGGCCACTATCAAACTTTCCACCTTTCCCTATTCACGGCTAGCTTCTTGACATAATTTTATGTCTTTTATTTTACTTTTCTGCTCATAATTGGTCGCTTTTAAGCACAATGGGGCAATTCCAAAAATTGCTGTTTAGAAAAAATCGAAGGTAAAGTTTTTAGGTCCTTGTTCAGTTTAACTAAAACTAAAACACAAGGAGAGTTTTCTCTATAACCAAACAAATATACACACCAGTGAAACCAAACTTCTGCTACAGATACGGAAATGCCCACTTTTGGTGTAGGTCAAGATTTCTGGAAACCCCTGAAATCTGGGTTAGCCCACATGTCCCTAAAAGTGACCAATTTCACTTGACCTTCTCTTTGATCTCTTGCTCTACAAATGGATTCCAAGCCCACGTACCTGGCCTATCAATATAAACCACAGTTCTCGTCTGCTCCCCTCTCCAGGGGTGTGGCATGAAGATGAACTTTCCCCCGATGGTGACTTTCTCAAAGGTGTCCGAGTACCAGGCCTGCCACGGGTGAGTGACAAACGTGTTCTGGTAGTGATGTTTGCCCGCCTCTAGACGCTGCTTGTAGCGGACACATCCCCCCCGGTAGTCTCGCCAGATGATGTCCACAGGATCAGAAGTCCTGTAATGTTGTGGGAAGACGGGTAAAAAGAGGGATTGCAGTAGGATGACGATAATCATCTTTTTATGTTGAATGCATTACATTTGAATTTGAAAATTTGAGTTTGGGTAAAACAGTAAGGCATAAACAAATTAAAGCATAATTCTCCACATTTTTAACCCTATCTGTACGCCCTGGTGTCATTTTGTTCCCCCGGGTTGTATTCTTCACATTTTAGAATACTTTTAGCCCAAACTGAACCCCAAAAATCCGTGTGTAGCCTTAATCAAGTGTTCACATTACAAAAAATTTAGTATACAGAAGGGCAGATCTGAAAGCAATGTCAACCAAGGGAACCATGCTTTATTTTATTGTGAATTAGTTTTATAGCCATAAAAGGAGCCATTGTATATACAAACAAGAAGAAATATCAATAAAATCCACAATTGTCATCAACCTCACCATTGCACACATGAGATAAAAATTCAAATTATGAATTGGAAGGGTTAGTTGAGCTTCATTGAGATGCAGACAAAATTGTGTCAAGAAACACAAGGTAGGTACTCTTAGTAAAACATATCGATTGCTTGGTGAAAGTGTAAGACTCTGCCATACGCCAGTTTGAAAAGTGATTTATGACAGCGTTTTACACTTTTTTTGAAACTGTAAATATGAATAATTTTATTACTTAAAAAAAAAGACTTGCATATTTAGAAAATGACAAAAATAGTCAAAATAGCAAAGTAAAAAAATCATTCAAAATATATTTTTTTCAAAAGTTAGAAAAAGTTAGCGTCATTTTATTCGGAATGGTATGATGCACTTACTCTCAAATCTCATGACTTTATCTTGAAGAGTTTTTGAGTTTTTAGCTTTTAAAGCCAAGAAATGAACAATTTGAGGAAAGGAGCAAAAACACCTCGAAATAGGAATGATGAATTTACTCTCAAAATTTCACGACTTTCTCTTGAAGAGTTTTTGAGTTTCTAGCTTTTAAAAAGCAGTTGATAATAGTGATTAGTAATCCCAGCTACCTGTTGATAAAGGTGACATATGCGGGCCAATCATGGTGGACAGATTTGATCACGTTGTGATCTTCAGGGGGAGGTGGAGACATGATCCTGATCAGTCTCCAAACTTGCATCGAAAACAACCACTGTCTTACTGAAATGAAAATCCAACAGAAAATGTCAGCACACAAGAACATTTCTGTGATGGGAGGCAGGTCGGGTGGTGGTGGTGGTGGGAGGACTTGCAGTGCAGACAGTCAACAGTAGACAGCAAAATATACACATGATGTACTGTATGCACACGCAGAATATCTAGGCCCTCTTACGATATATATTGAAGTGGACTACCCTGTACTACACTACTAACACCGCTATGACAATTTTCCATTTCACAATGTATATTTGGATATTTTGGATTCGGGAAATAAGTAAACTAAGACTCTCCATGGGGCTCCAATTTACTTTACTATTATTTTCTGAAATTCTAAACTCTTACTCTACTGTCTACTGTCACATTGTTGCACCAAAAAAAGTAACCTGAAATGTCCGTGGGGAGGCTTTTTTCCCCACTTTTATTCACAACCTTGTGTGACTAAATATTATGTTTGCATTTGAGAGGCAGTGGCACTTTTGGATGAGGGTCTGTCAAGCAAAACAAACATGGATTGCCCCTCTATGCCATTTACAAATGAAAATGACTCTGTACATAGTCTCACACATGACAGTAATATAAAAGTAAAAAAATTAAGAAAATATTTAACGCTAGCCGCGTGGTTTTAACGCCTAAGTGACAAAATTTTCGAAAATCACTTTTTGGTCCCTTTAAGCACTGTAGCCTTTGATACACCTTAGGTTAAAATCCCGAGTGTGAAAGATTATTGCAAAGTGTTTCAATCCTTCAGTAAATCAGTCATCTATCCATATTACACCACTCCCCAATTTCTACGTGATTCAACCGTCCAATAGCCAGTTTTGCAGCCCGGTGGTGAATGGGAGGTAGAATCACGCAGACTAAGCGGCTTGTTGAGGTGTTCACCTGTTGCGTAGGCGGAGTGACTCACACGACCGTGACCTTTGTCAAAACAGACTGGAGGGTAACATCAAAACAAAGTGCTGCATTTGCTAACTTCGACTCAGATCGAATCCTCTGTCGACAGCCAGAACATTTTGTAAAGGCAGTTTGCTTAAGGAATTTGGTAATGTAGTTGAGAAAGGGCAAGATGGCATTAAAGAATATATATGTTAATACTGACTTGACCAAGTCGGTAAATTGTGGCAAATGTTACTGACGAGTGAACTTTAAAAAAAGTCTATGATTGACAGCTAAGAGGCCCTTATTTCACGTTCGGTACAACTATTGGAAAATATATTTTTATAGCGTTTTTTAAAAGCGTTTCTTACACCCCTTGCTGTATTTGTCATGTACCATTCTTGAATCATTGTTAGTTAATCAGTACACCGGGTAGCTGACTTAATTTGTCATTTAAAAAAAAGGCCCCCCTGAAACTCCCCACTGTTGTTATGGATAGTGTGCATTAGATCTAGAAGTCTAGATCTAGATCTATACAAATGATGAATAATACAACAATCAAGATGATGATGAGTATGAAATTTAATGACATGTAATGTAAACACAGTCAGTGGGTCCACCAAAGTTCAATCCAGCCTTTAATTTGAATAATATAAAAACAGAAAATAGCCCATTTACGAGTACCTTCACAAGAGGAAAGGACAAGAAAAGTATTGGCGTTCTTGATGCCACATTTCAATGATTTGCATAAAAGTAGCACATAAGTGAAGAAAGTGTTTTTAAAGGGCTCTATCTGGTCTACGTTGCACTTTGAATTGCTTTGAGGATCACAAAAAAATAAGAACGCTACAGCAGGTCTGTAACTTTAAAAAAAGAAAGGAAAGAGTTTCACATTCGTAAACATGAATTTCCTTGCAATAAAATCGATTTATAACGATTGATGAAATGAAAACCGTACCCAAAATCCGTCTAAGTCGAAGCACCCTGTTGTTTGTTTACACATTGAGCAAGTCGCCATTGATCTTATCAACGACGAGCTCTTCTCGGTTTGAAGTTTAGATGTTGGGTTGTTTATACCCATAGACTTGTACTCCTACCCTAGATTGTACACTCTGACGTACTTCCAAATCATCAGAAAGAGCACCATTTGAACCAAATGAAGGGCAATTAAGAGGGAAGACACACCTTGCAAGTGACTGCGGTAGACTGGTGTATTGATATGTCCTCAACTTTTTGCATCTTTTAATTTGGCTTGAAAAACCCCCCAGACAAACAAACCCAAACAACCCCCCAAAAACAACATATGGCTTACTTACTGTAGTTTCAGTATGGTAGAGTTTTTTTTATAATGGCATATTCTACAGATATATACCATAAGTACTGAGTATTACAGGCTGAGGTGTTTTTTTAATTAAAAAAGCAACATTTAAAAAAGGGGGAAAGATAAGGAGGATAGATGTTTGATAGGAAAGACGGAGCATACCCCCACCATCCACCCACAAAAAAAAAAAAAAATGAATGCCATCTTTTCGTGTTTGTTTTAATCGCAAAGAGAAGTAAGCCTACAAAAAACTATTACTATTAGCAAAGTTCTTATTAATCTCTCCCCCCCCCCTTCCACCTCGGGACTGTGTATGAGAATCATGTTCCATAGGGTCTGCTGGGGTGATAATTCTCTTGTATTGTAAAGTGTGCAGAGCATGCTGAATATGTAGAGAGTGGATACGAGCTTTATAAATGCAATTAACACCTTATTATCTTTATTTATTATTTTTGCTGAGGCTTGGCACATTAAGATTTGTGTAAACAGCTCTGAGAGCATTGTCTCCATGGAAGCAGATCTTAAAATAATAATAATTTAGATAGCATCTGTACAGCGTAATCCCCGCTCAACAGCAAGCTCTATGCGCTTCACAATCTATACTATTACCCCAGAAGACTTGAAAGCCTTCTGAAACAACCTCAACTTCCTGGGAAGCATACAGTGCAAGCAGCCATTTATAGGCCCTAAAACACTAACATACTGACAAGATCTTTAGCTATCTATGGCCAGGTACCCGGATTCCCACCTGGGTGAAGTGAGGAAAATTTGTGTAAAGTGCCTTTCCCAATGACACAACGTCCTTCCAATCATTGCCTCTCGTTAACAACTCTCGCGTCATTAATTGCTTCTCGTAAACAATTATTACATTAGAGTCTCTCGTTAACAAATCTCACATCATTGTGTCTTTGGCAGCTCTCACATTATTGCCCCTCGTTAACAATTATCACATTAGTGTCTCTCGCAAGTAAACACCCTTAAGTTTTGTAATCCAATATGGCATCGCGCATAAGGTCAAGTCTGGGGTTTATATAACAAATCTCACATCATTGTCTCTTTGGCAACCCTCACATTATTGCCTCTCGTTAACAATTATCACATTAGTGTCTATCGTTAGCAACTCTTATATCATTGTCTCTCGTTAACAACTTTCACATCTTTGTCGCTAAGTTAACAACTCTCACATTATTGTCTATCGTTAACAATTCTCACACTATTGTCTCTAAGTTAACCTCTCTCATATTTGTCTCTAAGTTAACATCTCCCAATATTTATATATATATATATTGTAGTGACTCTCCGAACACGCAACTAACTCACAACACAACAGCTGACATGACTATGACTTCGCTCGGACCTGCGAAGTGCTCAGATAAAAACACCTCGTGATCCGACTGTCCAACACAGCCAGTCGAGTAGAAAATTCCTGTGAGTAAAGACCTACCTACATTGGTGACCCCGACAAGTTGAAACGTAATTTCAACTTTGTGTGTTATGTCTTGGATTATTGTTGAATCATATTTGAGCGGACTTAGTTTTCATCACACCCCTTACCATCCCTTCAAAATGTGTGACAAGGATCGTCAAGTAAGTGCAGTTTCGATTAAACTACCAGCATTTTGGACAGCCAGGCACCCCACGGGACAGTGCCACTGACTGAAGTGTCTTTAGGCCATTCCCAAAGGGGGGACATTTCTCGTTCTAAAGCACAGTAGAAATGTCAATGGGCTGATCCAACAATGTCATGCTCATAACTATGCCTGAACTACAACTGGGAACTGCTGCTTTTTCTTTCCTAATCCTTACTATTGTCATTTTCCTCTACTTCTTTTTGTATGTTTGTCACACTCTTGTGACCCGCTATTTCCGGGGTGCCTTGATAGTCGGAGCAGACGTTGTGCTTTTGAAGCTAAAGAGGTGAGCAGAGTAAGTCTGATTCCCTGTAAGGACTTCTCTGTTGACATCTACCCCTTGGCGCTCATATGACATTATGCAGTTGCGAGCGCCGTAAAACCTACTAAAACAAACAAAATGACAGCCGGGCCGGAAGCTTGGTTCGCCCAAACTGAAGCGCAATTCGCTCTGTGGAATATCACTCAAGACGGAACTAAATACCACCATGTTACTGCCGTCTTCGACCACAGCACAGCTAATCGGGCACTTTCGAAACTAACCAACCCACCAGAAGACAACAAATACAGCACGCTGAAAACATTTTTATTTTCGGCATCTAGGTTGTGTGATACGGACAGAGCATCAGCGCTCTTTAATATTAACTAACCCACCAGAGGACAACAAATACAGCACGCTGAAAATATTTTAATTTTCTGCATATAGATCTAGTTTGTCTGACACGGAAAAGAGCATCAGCGCTCTTTAAACTACAGGGGTTAGGAGACCGTAAGCCGTCCGAGTCAATGGACTCCGTGTTAGGCCTACTGAGAGGGCACGATCCGTGCTTCCTTTTCCAACAACAGTTGCATTAATACGTGAGAGACCCCCCACCCCCTTGCTACATTCGACCATCTCGACTGCCGCACGTTAGCACAAGAGGCCGACAAATTATTCCTTACCATTGCTTCACCCGCGACACTACTGACCGTCGATCGCACAACGGCTGCTAGCAAGCCCAGACCTTCCCACTCGACAGGTCTATATTTTTACCAAAATAGATTCGGATCAAACTCCAAAAATGCGTTCCGCCAAGAAGTTACAAAGCCTCCAACCCCCCCCCAAAAAACAAAACAAACAAAAAAACACCAAACAACAACAACAACAAAAAAAAACGTTTGCGGTTCAGCGAAACAAGTAGGTGGGTCAGCAGAATTCAGTCTGGCTCAAGAACCTTTTCTTGGCTCACAAAAAGCTCAATTGGTTATCATGGACTCTGTCTCTGGCCGCCGTTACATCATCGATACGAGACCCAGGTTTCGGTTCTTCCAGCCACATGGCGGGACAAACAGGCGAACACTTCAGTCTCTCCACTTTTAGCCGCAAATGGTAGCCAATCAATACATCTGGAGTGCTCAACACCACCATTCGTTTCCAAAACAATGCTTTCGACGCCAGGCTTGTCATCGCCGATGTAAAGCGGGCCCTACTTGGTGCTGACTTTCTTCGCCGCCACAACCTACTGGTAGACATTCGTGGTCAGAAACTGATAGAGGCTCAATCTTTCAAAGTATACCCATGTACTATAAGTCAGATTTCATATTCTCAGCTAGTCATAGTGGACCCAAAAAGCAACAAATTTAGAAAGATATTAACAGTTTCCTGAAATCCTCGAGCCAACCTTTTCGGCCTCCGAAGTGAAGCACGGTGCTCCCATTTCATCCCCACCACTGGTCCACCCGTACATGCCAAAGCACGTCGACTACCCCTCGGCAAACTAGCTATCGCGAAAGCTGAATTCCAGAAAATGGAGGAAATTGGGAATTATTAGACGATCTAGCAGTCCCTGGTCTTCATCTCTTCACATGGTTCCGAAAGATAACGGAGACTGGCGACCTTATGGCGACTACCGTGGACTCAACAATAGAACGACCCCCAGATCGTTATCCGATTCCCCACTTTCAAGACTTCTCAGCACGGCTCGCAGGCAAAAGTATCTTCTCCAAAATCGACCTCGTTCGAGGTTACCACCAAATCCCAGTTGCGCAGGAGGACATTCCGAAAAATGCCGTCATCACACCATTCGGCCTATACGAATTTCTACGCATGCCTTTCGGGCTTAGAAACGCCGCACAGTCATTCCAGCGTCTTATGGACATCGTCCTGCAGGACATTTCGTGGGCATTCATCTATCTGGATGATATACTCATTGCCACCTCATCAGCTTCTCAACATATTAGAGATCTACGGCAAGTTTGCAACAGACTCAAAGAAGAGGGCTTAGCTGTTAGGTTAGAAAAATGCGTGTTTGGAGTGAACGAAATCGAATTTCTAGGCCATCGAGTCACACGAGATGGATCTAACCCACTCCCTTCCAAAGTCAAAGCTATAGAAGAATTCCCACAGCCAACCACCTACAAAGCACTCCAAGAATTTCTGGGAATGATCAAGTTCTACCTTCGCTTTCTACCTCGAGCTGCATGCGTACTACGCCCTCTCTACGAAGCTCTGAAATGAAATTAAGGTGAAGTGGTATGGGTTTAACGCCCCTATCAACATTATTAGGTTATTTTAGAGGCGGGGCCTCCTAGTTTAACGTCCGTCCCCGAAAGGACCGAGCCAAGAGGGAAATTCGTGTAAAGTGCCTTTCCCAAGGACACAACGTTGGACCGAGCTGAGGCTCGAACCCCCGAACCCACAATATCACGATTACGAGTCCGGTAGCTTAACCTGTTGGGCGCTACTCTGTGGCGATCCGTTGTGTTCATTTTGCTCTGAATTGGTGTTAACGTCAATTTAATATCATGGATAGGCAATTTTCTTGCCAACCGAACCCAGTATGTAAAATTAAAACATTCTCCATCGACATACATCACAACAAATACAAGGGCCCCTCAAGGATGTGTTTTGTCACCAGTTTTATTCACACTATACATGCATGATTGCCAAAATAAACAACAGTAACATCAAGTTGATAACATTTGCAGATGATTCAACCATAATTGGGCTAATTCAGGCTGACCATAACGAAACCGCTTACCGGAATTTTGTACTTAACTTTTCTGAATGGCGTGAAAATCATAAGCTGCTTTTAAAAGAGGAAAAAACTCAAAAGAACTTAATTGTTGATTTT